AAACTATAATAAACTATTATTATTTTTACTATGAATATTTTGTAAAAAGGTATTATATATTATTAACAAAATAACTATTTCTAATAATAATAAATTAATAATTTTCTATTTAAATATAATTTTAATATATATTAATAAAGTAATAATTTGATACTCGCATTAATTATTAATTTATAAATTATTTTTATAATATAATTATATATTTATAATATTGCAAACAAATTTGTAAATTTGTGAATAATTTTTTATTCATCAATGATTTTTATCTTCCAAAATTAATTTAAAATTTTATCATATAACTACTTTGTTTTTTTTTGTTGATATTTGTTGATATTGTGAATTTTTCAAATTTTTTTTTTTTCTGTTTTCTGTTTCATGAAATAAATTGAAACAACACATATATATATCTTTTATTCCATTTTTTTATTTCCATTTTTTATTCTGTTTCAATATTGTTTAAACTGATCTCTGATCTACTTAATTAAGGATTTGCAATAATAATCATACATTATTAATTACATTCTCTCAATGTAAATCACTTTTAAAAGATAATTAACCGACTAATTGGATGATCTATTGTATTAAAGAGATATAGTATTATGAGATTTAACTAACAAGATTACACGATCAAAGTCCAGTTCAAATAGTACCATAAAGTTGGAGTACCATAAAGAAACTTCTGTAACTTGCATAAGGCATAAATTGAGTTTGTAATGAATATAATCAAGTACATACAGACTGAAAATCTAATGAATCATGACGTGGAATGAAACTTGTGTTATCCTCCAAAATTATACTACCAGCAACTTTTAGATACAATGGGATTTCTCCTTTATACAAAATATCCTAAAAGTCAAATAGTTTTTTTATATCTAATATGCATAACAAATGCAGTTATGCATTAAACTCTATCAGTTATTAAATCTACCAATATAATAATAAAAAAATATATAAAATAGCTATAAAAAATATTTGATCATCAATTATATTTATTACAATATTTATATATTAATTAGATCCAAATATATTAAATTTCTTATCATATTTTAATTAATAGTATTTTCATATATATATATTATGATTGTTAAAATTTGTAGAATAAACATGAAAGAAAAAAAATCCATATTTATATATTAATTGATTAAATCCAGATCTATTAAACTTCTTATTACTATGATCATTAAAGTTTGATATTGATACTCTTATTGAGAAATAAGAATGTACAAATATTCTTAACCTCTTAAATATTAAATTAGAATTTTTTGAAAAAATTATTTTACCATCTTAATCTTACTTCTTTATTAATTATAATTTAATTAAATTTATAATTATAACATATAATTGGAATATAAGTGGAAACTTCAATATCCCAAATTAATTAGTAAACACTTGAAATAAAAGAATTTACAGATACATTTTCAAAACATTTGTGTTTTCTTGTGATTATAATTCTGTATTTTAAGAAAAATAATATAATAATTGTAAAAGATATATTAAATAATGTTACAAAAATTGTTTTATTGATTTAACAATAAATAATAAATTCTCTATATTGTAAAAAAAAAATTATTGCAATTCGACAAAAGCCAGGAAATCATCATTTATATTAAAATAAATTTAATTAATAAAAACAAATACGATATAAATTCGTTAAAAACAGCAATTTTAACGTACAAAAGAAAGACATGCAATTGATTCATTCATTAAAAAAAAAAAAATACTTGTCCAAAACTATTATTACCCTAACCTATCATTATCTTGTTTGCAATTTAGTCTCGCTGATGGTGCAAGGTTCGGCGGAAGTTGCTTAATCCACGGGCCGCCATTACCACCGCTTCCTCTTCACACGGAATGCGAAGACCTATCTGTTTCCGGCGAGGCAGGGATCGAGGAGGTTAAAAGTCCTGTCCTTCGAAGCCCTCCTGCTTTCTCGCATTCGCGCTGCCCTCCCGAAATTCACAAATCCTGCATCTGTGTGCGCTTCATCGCGGAACACACGAAAATGCTCGAAGACTCGACAAAGGTAATTTTAATCGAGCTTCCTTAAAAGTTTATTATTAATCAAATCAAATATTGAAGATAAAAATAATTGCAACAATTGAGAAGTTTCGATGAAATGAACGAAACGAAACTTGAATTGCAGTCGTAACAATGATTACGAGACGAATTATTCAAGAAAAAAGAAAAACTTCTTTCAAGAAAAAAAAATATTATTGGAGGAAAAAATAGGAATATGAGGATACTCTGTTTGTTTGTTTTTTTTCTGATATAAGAAATCTGAAAATATAAAAAGATGTGCATGAACATAAATAGATTCTCGAATTTCGAACTAAAATAAATTAAATGTATATAATACATGACATTTTAAGAGCTTAATTTCGAAAAATCATATTAATAAACGATGATAAAATAAGTTCAGCAAATAAATATTTTTATTTATATATAACAATTGATTAATAAATTTTATCTGCAGTTTAAGAAATTTAATACATTTGAAGATTATAATTAATTAATATTATGTATATTGATTTTTCTTTGGAGAGATATCTAGCAATGTTATTTGTTTTTTCTATTTTTTTAAATTTTTCTGAAACTTTCCATTACATTGTCTTAAACTCTTTTATTCGAGTTTTAAGTTTTTTGTTCTAGTTTCGCGGTCTGAATTTTCTCCAATTTTTTGTTCGAGTTTCAATTTGTTCGAAGTTCGAGGATATATTGAAAACCTTAAAAAACCTGTGAATTTTTTTATTTTTATTTTAAATGAAAAAGATATCGAATAAATAGAAATTCAAGTAATAATATGAGATAGTGTAACTTACAATTAGATTCAGTAATTTTTCTGACTTATAAAGAATCAAATTTTTACGTTTTATCTTTTTATTTTTTTGTTATTTCACATAATATAATATCATATTGATTGAAATGAATCAAAAGTCTAAACAATTCAATTGTATCTAAATAAAAATAATTTCATATCGTCACAAAATTTTCGTAAACGAACAAATTATATTAATATTCTTTACTTTCGAGAAAGAACTGGAAAATTTTTAAATTTCATAATTTAATTTTTTTTCTCTTTCTTGCACAATCAAATGTATGCATCTACAAATCCTCTATAAATAGAAATATATCTATGCACATTTTTATCTAAATCATTAATTTCGATAAAAGATTCGTTCCCTTCGTATCATAACAGGATTTACCTGTAGAATCTAATACGCACAATTTGCAAAAAAAAAGGTGAAAGAAGACTGGAAATACGTGGCGATGGTCTTAGACAGGCTGTTCCTTTGGATCTTCACGTTGGCGGTGCTGGTAGGCACTGCTGGGATCATCCTACAGGCACCGACTCTCTACGACGACCGGGTACCAATTGATAAAAAATTCAGCGAATTCGCAACCACAGCGGTGGTAAATTGTCCGCCACAATAGTCCATGCCCGAGCCCTGCACCGTAGAGAAAGACTAAGGACCAACATCCGGATGTAATTTGCTATCAACCCGGAATCCCACCCTAGTCTTAGGAACTTTCAACTTCCATCGTTGTCCAATAACGAAATTACGGTAAAAGGGCTCCATTTCCACGAAGCGATTGTTAAGTATACGACATGCACATAAATGTTTCACGAAAAGAAATGGAACGACGAATGGTTCGAGGAAAGTAGTAATACGAAATCTTTGCATTCTCGTTTGGACACGAAATTGACAAACGAGCAATATAATAGAACGTCGATTATTTGAATTTAGGTTATTCAAACGATTGATTATTCGAATATGAGATGAATATGTATTAAATGAAATTGATCATAATCCATGGTAAAAAAAAATTTTGATTTTAATGAAAATTTGTATGAATAGAACAAATATCGAATTATAAATAAAATATTTTTTTTCGTTGTTAAAATTGTTAAAATTTTAGCATTCTTTTATTTGTTTTGAATTCAATGTAGCCTAAGAATTTTTTTACAATAGGATAAAAGAGCAGGTTACAATAGGTTAAAAAAACGAAACGTTTTTTATATAAAAAATTTTGCTGTATCTCACATCATTACAAAATTATTATTATATTTAAAAAATTAAAATAATAAGATACTCGATTTTCCTATTATAAAATGAATTCCCAGGAAAAATTACATTTGAAAACATGAAAAGATATTGAAAATTTAGCGATTGATTCTTTCAATTTTTTATTAATAAAAGAAAAATTATTATTCTTTATATGCATAAAAAATTTCATTAAAATCAAAATCATCAAATTAATAATAAATAACATAGTATATGATATATTATTTAATGTTTACATTCTATTCTGAGACAATATTAATTTTGTGATGCATTTTATTAGGTATTTCTTTATACATTTAATAAACATCTATATCTAAAAAATTATTCAATTATTCATGATTTCCCAATTAATTCGAATAATCGATGTTCTATCGTACTTAAATTCTATCTATTACATAAAATACGAAAAAATATCTATCAGAATTATTTTCAAAAAGAAAAGAAAAAATATTCCTCGAAATTTTCCTAAGTTCGACTGTGCATCACCGATATAAGCAAACGAACGAGCTACTGCGACACCTGTCGGCCGTTTCAAGACCTTGGATCCATTCTTAGCTTCGTTCAAGTGTCACAATTGTGAAGTAACCATCGACGCGTCGATACATCGCGAACAATTATTGAAACAAAACGTATATCTACATAGTATGCTCAAGTAAATCGTAAAATGAAGCTGCCACTACTTAAAAATCGGATTAAATTAAAAACAACAAGCTAATTAACTGTAATAATAATTTAGCTAAGCCCTTGGCGGTTTAAACTACCGGGATGTCTGAGAGAATAGGGAATACGTGAGGAACGGAAGAGAAAGGGAGACGGGAAGAGGATCGAAGTGATTGGTCCCGGACTAGGAATTAAAACTTTCACGAATAAACTGTCGTACGGCCGCGTGTTTTATATATCCTGTTTACCGACATATTAAGAGAAATTATTCTAGGTATCACGATCGTAGGTAGCTCGTTGTACGACACGAACTTAGCGTGTAACTTATTGTATAATCGATTATAGTTTTAAAACATTTAGGAAAACGTACCCATTTGTACGAATGTATCTATAAGGAAGAAGAGGAGAAGGAAAGAGCAATGATTTGAATGTATGTGCATCCAAATGTCACTTGGGATTACTGTTTGTAACGTTTTATTGTTGAGATGTTTGTGAAAAGATAATATGCATATAATAAGTTTGAAACAATTGATCTTTAATTTTAATTTAAGAAAAATATGTTTGATTTTTAAATAATTTGAAAAGCATTTTATTACAAATATGTAGAAAACAATGCAATTTAGAAAGTTAGAAAATTACTTCATAATATATATGTATATATAGAGTGTTTTAAAAATTAAATTGATAATTCTTGGATTTAATTTCAAAAAATTGCTTGAAATTAATTTAGGAATCTAAATTTTGTCAATTTTTGGTCATTGTATGTAATATAATAGTAATTTTTAATGAAATTCAATATATTAATTATTCTTAAAATCAATTTTAAGTAATTTTAATACAAATGAATCATAAAAACATTTTTTTTTTTAGAATAAGAGTTGAGAAGAATACGTTCAATAAGTTATTACTACTTTTGTTTAAATAATGTATAATTAAAAATAGATAAATCTTTTCTTTTAAAATTCTTTTGGAAATAAAAAAATTATTACTACCTTAAGTTGCAAAAGAATATTTATAAAAAATATGATATATTTATAGATATTGCAAAAAGCATGCAATAATGAAATAAAAAATATTTTTATTAAACATGTTTATTTTGATATCTCATAGAATAGTATAGTGCTATATTTATATAATTTAATATAAAATGAATAAAAAATATAAAGAAAAATATCTTTGAATAATCAAATTTAATTTTCAATATAATTAATTAATATAATGGATTTTTTTCTATATTATTAATATACATAGTTTACAAAATGGATTATTTAATACGATATAATTTTTTGTTATTAATAGATCAATTAAAATTTTTTTTTTGAATCTCTTTTGAAGTAAATTTTGATTTTAAATTTCGAAATCACCTTCAATTTTTTTCAAGTTTATAATTTTTTATAGTTGAAATAATATCAAGCTTCAATATGTTTATAAAAATATTATATATATAAAAATATTGAATTTGAAAATTCATAAGTTTTTTCAATAAAGTATCTATATTTTATAAATATGTGCAATTTATTTAACTAATTTGATTTAATAAAATAATTCTAAAAATTAAATGAGATCATAAGAAACAAATTTATATTAAAATAATTAATAACTTTTTTTATAAAAGTTAAATATTAATTTTGATATAATTTTATTTTTATAATATATTTATTAATAATACTTTTTTTTTCGTAAAATAGATAAATTTTCTTTAATATCTATCGTTGCTATTATTTATTATTTTTTTTTCTATTCCAATTTTTTGGTTGAACATAATGGATAATATATATAATATATCATATATATATATCATATATATTTAGATCAATATATTGGATAATATATATAAAATAATAAAAAAATCATAAAATATATATAATCTTGAAAATCTTCCGAAATAATCTTTGACAAACAAAATTTTTCGACCGATCTATTAATAATGAAAATAATCGAAATGATCATGTTAAATATCTCTTATATTAACCATTTGACAAATTCGATGATCTCGAGGGACATTTCGTTGCACACGTGTTATACTTCGCCTCTGTAAAAATATTGTATTTTGTAACAAGAGTCGAAACCCGCGAAACATTACGATAATAATAACCGATAGTTCTATAAGAACAAGTAAAGCATACGAATTCTAAAGCTGATAGATAGTAGCTGATTGAACAACCGTTGACGTTGTTGTTCAATGCTGTAGTACGTGGTTGATGTCACTGTGAGTTGTCTTATATTCTTTTCTCTCGTTTTCCTTCTTTTTTTCTTTTTCCTTTCATTATTCCTTCGTTTATTCTTTTTTTTTTTT